GTGTAGTGTGTGTGTGTGTGTGTGTGTGTGTGTGTGTGTGTGTGTGTGTGTGTGTGTGTGTGTGTGTGTGTGTGTGTGGGTGGGTGAGCTGAGACTCCCCATTTTCTCATCCGATCCTGCGCTTGCCATGTATGTATGTATACCTCGACGACGCGCGTGAGGGAGGGTTGGAGGGAGGGGGCGTGTGGGTAGGTACGCCGGGCAGGGAGGGTTGGTTGGTGTCGTGGGCGTGTGTGACGGACGGCAAAAGGGTCGGTGAAACCACCACATGGGTGCTCCTTGTGGACGGTTACACGTGGCATCCCTTCTTCCTTTCCCGCGAAGTCCTTGTTGCACCGCGGGCTTTCACTGCCTTCCGTGTGTCTGGCTGGCTGCTTTTGCGCTTGTATCATATATCAGATCCTTCCGTATTTTCATTTTACTTTTTTTGCCCTCCCCGACCTCGCTTCTGTTATCTATCCGTGAGGTCTCTCTTACCATCCAGCCACCGCCGCCATATGTCGCCACCCGTGACCACGGAGGGATGTAGACGACTGGCCCTGTGGCCATGTAACCGGCAGATGCAAGAATAGCCGCTGACGGACGAAAGCCTATGCAGCCCGCCTGTGGAGGGACTCCCGCTGTCGGACTCGAGGTCCGCCTGCCGTGCCAGTCAAGCATATGCCCAAGGAGGAGGGCTATAGGAACAAGAAAAAGAGATGGAAACGAATAGGGACAAAAAAGGTGCGCATGCGCTGCACCGAGTCGCTCCGTCCAACCCGCCAGAAGCCAATAGAGGCGCTGCTGCAGGTCTCGGGAGCGGACAGGAGGGCAAAGACCGACGACGAATAGAGTGCCTTGAGTGGCCCTCCTCGCTGACTTGGCGGGCACTCCGGGTAGCGTAGAGTTATCTTGGTAACCAACAAAGCAAGGCAGCACGATCGCCAGATGGGGCAGTAAGACTATGAAGTCGTCTCGGAAGGCAACGATGTGTACAATTCTTCACCACCGATGTCGACTAAGGACATTCACTTGGGGATAGGCACATCATCACGCTACTCAGGCACTTGAAAACGGACTTTCTATCGCCCCCTCGACCTATTTGATGCCCAAAGTGGCCAGCCCAGAGATCCGCGCATGTACCACCCTTTGAGACATTTCCACCCCTCCCAAGCCCTCCTTTTTTCCGCAACAGCCCAGACGGAAGGAGACAGCGGATCACCACTCAAAGGAGACGAAAACAAAAAAAAGGGGGGGTGAAAAGGACAAAAAATAAAACCAAGATCAATAAAGATAGTGCGCCAGTGCCAGCTGTCAAAACCAGAGAAAGCTAAACTACAGATGAGACGAGGCTATTCCCCAAGCAAGAAACAAAAGTTGCGAAAAATTAGATAATAGTATATCCACCTCATATCCGCTGCACTCGACGTAAGTTGGCCAACCAGTGGCGGCACGGCTTCCTTCACGGCTGTTGAACAATGACGCAGCAAAAGGCGACACGTCACGCAGCGGACCTTGTCAGGAGGTTGAATCCTAGCAGAGTAAGGTCGCTGTGATACAACAGGCCTGGCCACCCGAGTTATCTAGGACGTGCGGGCTCTCGATGTGGGCGGTGCCTTGCGGTGCCTCTCAAATCGAGGCGGGCGCCGGCCAATGCCTGCCATCTCTGGGCCTCTCTTCTGCTCCCATCGACAGGTGGCGTTCACTCGTCATCGTCCTTGGGCACCAAACGGACCTGCGCGTAGCGAGCCCTAATGTCAATCCCGCTGCGGCCGGCGGCTGGAGGAGACCGAGGCATTTGTGCTGGCTCGTGGTCCGCCTCCTCGGGCTCTGGGGTGGAGGGGATCGCATATGCGTCCTCCTCGCTGACGGTGCTCCGGGTGCTCTTGCGCCGCCATGATCCCGTGGTCTTGCGCGCTCCGGAAAAGGCCGAGACCAAAGTCTGCCTCATCGACTTGGTTCTTGTGAGTTTGGACGCTACGGCCTTCGTTTTGGCGCTAGGAGACGTCGTCTTCCGGTTCTTTTTCACGCCGCCACCCGATGTGGGCCTGAGCGCCGACGAAGCCACGTTGATCTCGTCCGCCGCTGCGGCAAGTGCTTTGGCCGAGGGCTTACGACTGCGCGGTGAGCCGGCTGCAGGCTCGCGAACCCTGACTTCAATCTCGCCCTTCCCGCTCTTCCTGCGCGACGATGGCGTCTTGGCCTTCGTGGCTCTCCCCTTCCCTCCCGTGGGCGTGGCAGCCACGATGGTTTCTGAATTTTTAAGTACCGGGGCCGAATTCCTCTTGCCGACCGAGCTCGCTGACGATGTCTTTGCCTTGGACCTGGGCGAGCCCTTGTTTTTCATGACCTTGCTGAGCAGCGTTGACGTGCTGGCGCGGCGCGTCACCGACTTCTTGATGCTCCCCTTGCCCGAGCGAGGCGTGCCAGATGTGCTCGCAGATGATGAGCCCGTCATGAGCGCTACGGCCGCCTTCGTGGTAGTAACGGTGATGGATGACACGCTGCGCTTGAGCTTGGCGGCTCCCTGGGTAACCTTCAGGCTCGCCGACGAGAGCGAGCGCTTGAGGCCCTCTCCAGCCTGCAGCTTTCGCTTCTTCATGCTAGCGGTTTCGGACTCATCGTCGCCAGGGGCACTCAGCAGCTCCTTGATCTTGCGCTTACCCGCCTTGACCTTGGCGCCAACCGAGTCCTTCGCCGCTGCCGCCGCCGCCGCCGCCGCCTTCTTGGCATTGTCGTTTCGCGTCTTGGGCCCGAGCACGCCACGGCAGTTGTTGCTACCGCAAAGACACTTTTGCACGTTCTTAGCGGAAAAGGGGTCGAAGTTGTAGTCGTATGTGAGCTCATCTCCGGTCTGGATCTGGCGGTCGCCAGCAAAAAGGGCCATCCTGGGCACGCCCGAGACGATCCATTTGATCATGCGGCAGTTTGGAGAACACGAATGGTTTACAAACCTCGCGATGCTGCCAGTAGTAGCATCGAGAATCATGTTCTGGTCGAACGACATCAGATAGTAACACTGTCGCATCGAGACTCGGTCAGACGGTTTGCTCACGTGACACCCTTTTCCTGCCCTGACAATACGTACCTGTTTGTCCTTGTAGACCTCATTCATGCGGCGGTCACACTCTTCCTCTGTGATGATCTCACCGGCGTACTCCATGATAATCTGGCCAGGCTCGAAGCAGCGGTTCGCGCGGACCCCGAAGCCACGGTCGCCCGTGTGGTACACCTCGACGCCGACACGGTAGCTGCCGCCCGTCTTGGTGCGGTCCTGCAAATCCTGGAATGCACGGTTCTTGCAGAGCTCGCGGCCGACATTGCAGTTCCCCTCGTTGCATTCGTACAGGACTGAGCGGTTCAGGCAGTGCTCACCGCAGCCGTCGGCGGGCGTGCATACACACACCGAGCGGTCGTAGTACGTATTTTTCTTCCAGTAGGACAGTGAATCGCCCACGAACCGACCTGTAGATGAGCGTCAACACAAGTCCATGGTGCCTGTCTAGTGCGGGGTAGATATGCTCACTCTTCGTAATCTTGCGCCACTCCTTGGGCTTTGGCTGGTCCATCAAGGGGTGGCACACATCGAAGGGGAGTTTGAAGTCGCGGCCACCGAGCAAAAGACGGAGGCCGCCAAACATGGGGAACGGCAGGGCCGTATTAGAAAGCACAGGTTCCGAAAACTCTGGTAGCTGGGAAAGCAGTTTCTTGTCGGCGCCCGAGAGACCGGCAAGGGGGTCGCGCGGCGCATCCTGTCCAGCATAGAGGCCCTTCTCCAGCCACTTCTTGGGACGTCTCTCTAATTTTGCAGACGCATCGGCGGCGTCAGCGTCCGCCTGCGCCTGCGCCTTCTTGCGCGACAGGTCCTCTTGCGCATCGAGACTGGCCTGTTTCTCCAGCTCAGCCTTTGCCTGCTTGGCGGCCTCGGCCTTGGCCTTCTCCTCAGCGGCAGCGACTCTGGGATCATAGAACTTTCCATTGCGCCAGACAGTTTGCAGAACCGGCTCGTCCTCAACCTTGGCAAACTCCTTCGTGTCTGCTAGTCGCTTCAACTCTCTGAGGATGGTGGGGTGTGTCTGCTCAAAGGCCTTGCGCGCGCGCTTGCCCATGTTGGCGAGTTGGGTGGCCAGCGACTCGGTCACTGGGCCCGACAGGCGGGTCGACCTGCGCGAGATTTCCGGGGTCGAAGTCTTGATTGACTTTCTAGTCGCGATTCTTGATGCGGACTTTGCGGTCTCTCTGCGGGGCTGTGTTCGAACTGACTTGGGGGTGTTGAGGCGATCGACGGACCAGTCGCGGTCCAGAGATGTGGCAGCGTCATTGGTGGTGTCCCCAAGGTGCTCAACCACTATCTCGTTCTCCTCTGCAGGCTCAGGGGCGACAAATACAGCATCGATGGCGGCTTGCGACGCCAGGACGGTTCCCCTTGGCCCATCCCTGACCACGTCTCCTTTTGAGCGCCGCCTTGCATGTCGGTCGGTTCCGCTCAGCTTCGCAATGTTATAGACTGGTGCTGAGGCGCGAGAGCGACGGGGACGCGTGGGCGTGGGTTCTTGGCAGGGGGTCTGGGAGCGGACGGCATCGATGAGGGGGGTGGCGCGCTCGGCGTCGGCGCCGGGGACGGAGATGATACTAGGCTGCTCCAGCAGGGCAATTACCGTCTCAATTTCTGGTTTCTGGGGCTCCGAGGCCAGGCTGATGCTGTCGGAGACGCTGGTGGGCGGTGTTGAGCTCAAGGACGCGGCGTTGGAGCTCGAGTCTGTCGGCGCGCCAGCAAAGCTGGACTCAGAGTCCAGCGCGAGCAGGTCGGCCATCTCGGCGGGGGGGACGCGACAAATTGCGGCGATTTCGGGTGTTGCGGAGGATCGGTCGTCCATATAGAGGGGAGCGACGCGTCGGGGCGAGATTTATTGGCGACGGAGTCGTTGGTGGTGGTGTTCTGGGCGGTGGCGGTTGAGGGGACTTGGGAAACGGCGGGTGGCACAAGCCAAACGCGACGTGTGAAGGGCGAAGGCGCACCAAGACTCAGCATGGGTTTGTGGCGTGCATTGCTGGGTGGAGCGGAGGGAGATGGAGGTCGTCTGGCGTGCACGAGAAAAAAGCAACGGACCCCCCGCCTATTTAAGAAGAAGGCTGGGCCTGCATCCGGGCCACCCACACCGTATCAAGTGCCCACTCTCTATTGAAGACAGGCACAATAAACGGCCAGGAAGGGGCCCTCGACGCCGCCTCCACCCCAGACTGGCCGGCAAGGCAGGCACTCAATAGCCACAATAGGAGCAAGCAGTCCGGCCCCCTCCGGGCAGACGCGAGCGACCAGCCCCTGAGAGCCAATGAGACGCCGGGCCGCAAACCTTCCTCACAGAAGACTGGACCTATCTCCGCCACAATAGGTAAGCCTTGGCGTGATGCTGCCGAGACAATAACAACAGAATAGGCCATGTCCCTATTCATCACCATCACCACCATCGCCACCATCACCACTACCAAACAGGCTCACACAATATCAACCTCCAAGCTGTCGGCGCCGGGTACCGACATGAATACACCGCATACCCCGAAAAGCATGGACCTGGACGAGAGGGATGCTGTCGTACAGTCCGGGCCCGTCCGCGGCTGCTGTTTGTGTTTGCCGTGGAATTCCGCGCCTACGTGTTTTGCCGTTGACTGCGCGTTGTGGCCATTACCAGTGGCCGTTTGTGGAAGCGATGAGCTAGGCTAGAGTTGGGGGTGGTGGTGCGAGCGAGCTCACGTCAGGGCTGTTGAACTCTCTCTGGCGAATTTACACACGAGTCTCCCGGCTAGCTATATCCTCGCCTGCATGTTTTGGCTTCGTGGAGGTCCTCACATTTCCCTTGAAACGTGAAGTATCACGCAAAGTACATGTCCGTTTTGAGATAAGCCCCTTAGTTGCTTTTTGAGGGGCTGGGTATCGCGAACCCAACGGTGTTCTGTCCAGATGCGGACACCCCACAACCCGCGCAGGACAATAGGCAATTAGTAACCCCAAATACTGCCCGAAATGCTGCTTATTACAAGATAAGCTTGTGCCCTCGGTCCTGGCACATCATGGGCAGTTAAATTTTGACGTATATCCTCGAACCCCCGGATCCCGGGTTTTGCCCGCTGGTCGTCGCCAAGTTTTGAACTAGTCCGAAGTCCAGGGGCCCTTACTTGCAGGGCAAGGTCACAGGATGAGCCACTGACAGCCATGAAACTTTGTGCACCGCTATCGAGCCCTCTTTCCTAAGCCATGGTTTGCCGGCTGTGGCATTCGCATATTGCTTTGGAGAGTGACATGAGGGAAAGCGGCAGGTAAACGGACACACCTAGCGATCCGGTGGCTTCTCCTCTTGTTTACATCTAGACATGGGCCCCGCAGTAACAACCCCTCTACCAGACCACGGCACCAACTTTGCCGGTGCGATCCGAATTTTTGAAGTACAGAGCCGCGGCTGGAACAACATGGCGCTGACGATGGTCTTGTCCAGATACGTCCAATGTTTTGTCGCAGTGGTTCTCTATACCGCGTCGGAGAATAACTTGTAATGTGCGCCATCCTTGGAGACCAGTGGAAGTCTGGAAGTTGATCATCACCAAACACATGACAGCAGGGATATCTACAAAGAGGTATCTGGCATATTATGCCCACATTTATCTCGAGGCCGTGCAAGGCTTGCCTGTCCGCATCGACAGTGAACCTGCTGTCACTTCTCTGCTGTAGCATATGTACCTGCCCTGAGATGCTTCAATATCTGGAGGGCATAGAGCCATACTTCAATCAGTGAGCAGAACGAAGTCGGCACCCATTTAACAACGCCGACGACCGGTCCAGATTTGTCAATAGCAGCCCCGGGGTGACATATGTAGATAGCCTGCGATTAGGTTCGGACAGGCTTGCAGCAACTGCTCACATTATGGTCCATTTACGATCATTTATATCCATGGAACCTCTGGGATTGAATAGGTACTCGTATGTCCCTGAGTGAGCAATGCTTGTTGGCTTGGTGCGTAAGTATTGCGATCGTTGGGGCGCGGGAGGATGGGTTTCCAAGCGTTAAAGGTATGTACTGACAAACTAGAAACACACGCCTCCGCTGGCATCACCATAAAGGTGGACACTTCTTCAGCACTTAGCAATGCTTTAACAACCACGCTTCTACATTATTGACCACTATCTTCAGCGGGTACCGATAGCTATGTCAGTCCTGGATTCATGGGAGGCCTTGGCAGCGTGGATCGCGAAAGCTTGCCAGAATACAATGGTAAGTAATCCTTCGTGTGCCTGTACCTAGAGGGAGAATAGCCTACCCTTGTCATAGTTGGTGGTGGTGGTATGTTCCTCTTTCACCTCGTTTGGTACTGGGGCCTGGCACGAACCGCAGGTTCCGCACCCGCCCAGGGTCATACCCACGGCTCCGAACGTTAACAAACATGACGCAGATATTCTCTTCTAGAAGAGGACATCTGATCCGGCGTTAAAAACATTCAGACCGTCAGTATCTTCCCAGTGATCGCGGGCGGATCCTAACCTTCTGCCAGTTTAATATTGTTGCCCCGCGGTATCCCGATCACCAATAAATAATCATGTGGGGCCCCACTCCTTCAGTCACCAGCGAGAGCCCCAGTAGTCGAAAGATAGAGCTACTGTCTAGACCTACGTGGCAGGAGGATAGTATCCACTGCCTTACGGGAAACGGCGTCTACACGAGGGGTTATGTAGGGATATTTTGTACTTCGCCTCTTCCTTCACTATATTATCTAAGCCATACAGTAAAACAGCAGGTAGCGCCATGCTTGTTCTTAACATATCAGCATAATGTACTTGTGTGGCTGCATTGTATTGTTGTTGCAGCTGTCAAAGGAGTCTTGTTCAATCTGCTAATAAGCTGCTGTCGTCCTGGGCTCTCTGGCAGAGGCAAGGCGGTTTCTAGTGCTGCGCCTGTCACTGTTGTCTAAGCCCGGATATGGAGAAACGGAGGTGTAGAATGCAATTCCTGCCGCTGCCAAATGTCAATCTGGAACGCGATTGCCCCTGCGATTGGGTCGACAAACTTTCTGTTTATGGTCAGATGTTGCGGAGTGCTTGGTTGGATTGGATGAAGCGAGGTCCAACGCACAGAGGTGCTCAGACACAAGCGGCGCGCTCAGGGGGTCGTTGAGACCAGCCACAACGCCACACGACCGGGGAAGCACCCGCTCAGCCTCTACACGTGACACGGTGCAAGACGGAGCGCTTGACCAACAGCGGCGCAGATTCGATTGGATCGCGCCCGAGAAATCAAAGTCGCGTTGCAGGGACCCATCGACCGCCGACCCGTCCAGCAAGCCCGAACCGGCCGCCTCGACCCGACATTTCGAGGCAAACCCACCGCTCACTCCCCTGTCGCCGTTGCCACTCGGGCTCTCTCGTTTGCGACACGCTCCGGCACTCGGACGGAGGCTTTTTACGACGTCTCGCTCTCTCACGCGACCTGCGTTCTTAGCCGGATCCACCACGGCGGCCATCTGAATTTCGCAAGACCCCGGCGGGGTGCGACGAGGGGGAGAGCGAGAGAGTGATCGAAGGAGGAACTGGGGAGGAGCCTCGGGAGCGAGGGGAACCCAACAGTTGCTCATTGAGATGGCGGCGAACGGGGAAGCGGCGGCGGTGGCCGCGGCACAGCTGGATAGCATCAAACCGCCCGAGGGCGTCATCATCCCGCCGCCGGGCGAGATCCGCGAGGTCATCGAGAAGACGGCCGGCTACGTGGTCCGTGGAGGTGTGGGCATAGAGCAGCGCCTGCGGGAGAACCACGGCAACAATTCAAAGTTCGGCTTCGTTGTCAACAGTGACGACCCCTACCACCCGTACTACGAATGGCGCAAGGCGGAGTACAAGGCCGGGCGCGGCACCGCCGTCGCCGCCGGGCGCGCGAGTGAAGCGGTAAAACAGGCCGAGGCCGTCGAGGTCGAGGACAAGGGCCCGCCGAAACCGCCCGACTTTGAGTTCTCGGCCAAGATGCCGCGAATGAACCAAAAGGACGTCGAGGTGCTGCGCTTGACAGCCCTCTTCATTGCCCGCAACGGCCGCCAGTTCCAGACCCAGCTTGCCCAACGCGAGGCCAAGAACCCACAGTTTCAGTTCCTTATCCCGAACCACACCTTCCACAACTTCTTCCAGCACACCGTCGACCAGTACGCCACCATACTCAAGGAGGACGGCATGGGCGGCGACGGCTCGCGCGCCCAGGAGGTCCGAGTCGCCGCCCTGCGCCGCAACGCCGAGGACCGCTTCAGCGTGCTCGAGCGCGCACGGCAGCGCACCGCCTACTCCGCCTGGCAGGCGCAGCAGCGCCAGAAGGAGGAGGCGCTCGAGGAGAAGAAGAAAGACGACTTTGCGCGCATCGACTGGAACGACTTTGTCGTCGTCGAGACCATCACCTTCTCCGAGGCCGACGAGTCCATCGCCCTCCCGCCTCCCACGACCCTCAACGACATCCAGTACGCCTCGCTCGAGGAGAAGAAGAATTTCTCCCTCAGCGCCCTGCGCATCGAGGAGGCCTTCCCCTTCGAGGACACAGACTACAACGCCCACCCGGTCAGGCCGCAGCCGGCGCAGCCGCAGCCGCAGCAGAACGCGCTCGACCTCCCGGTCCACCCCGGGCCGTCCCCGCAGCAACAACGCGGGTACGCCGGCCCGGTCCAGGACGAGGAGGAGGTCCGGAGGATACAGGAGCGCGAGCAGGCGCGGGCCCGCGCCCACGAGGCGCAGGCGCAGGCCAGGCCGAGCGCGGCGCCCGTCAAGATCAAGGAGAACTACGTGCCCAAAGCAGCCGCCCGCGGCGTCAAGGCGGCGGGGCAGATGGCCATCTGCCCGAGGTGTAACGAGCAGGTCCTCATGTCGGAGCTGGAGGAGCACATGCGAAGTAAGTTTTGCTCCCACAGGGCTACTACTACTACCCCCGCTCAGCCCGATGGAACATGGGACGGGCAGAATGCTAACCACATCGGCACACGACAGTCGAGCTCCTGGACCCGAGGTGGAAGGAGCAAAAGGCAAAGGCCGAGTCGCGCTACGCCACCACCAACATGGCGACGGCCGACGCCGCCAACAACCTGAAGCGGCTGGCCAGCCAGCGCACCGACGTCTTCGACAGCGTGACGGGCCAGCCGCTGTCCGAGGAGGAGATGGCGCGCCGCAAAAAGGCGACCATCAACAGCTACGACGGCAATCCGGACGGCAAGAGCCAGGCCCACATCGCGCACCTGCAGAACGTCAACGTCGAGGAGCAGATACGCGCGATCCAGCAAAAGTTTGGCGAGCGGAAGGACTAGGTCTGTTGCTCGCGGCTGCTTTTTGTTTCCCCATCCGAGAATCATGGCCGTGGCAAACAAAAGCGCCGGGGCCGCTGCCCTCTGAGCGGCTCGGGCTCCGCAGTGTCACTTCAACTTCACATGCTTGTGCTGTCGTCTTTCTTTCTCTATCTATTGGGATACATTGAACAAAATCGCCGAAATTATACCGATTCTTCCGAGCAAGAATACTCCGGCGGACACGAAGCATGAAGAAAGGGGGCGACCCAGCTTACTCCAGTGATAACCTTGTCTTTGTCGTATAATGTCATCATGTTTATATAGTGAAGGTGATTTTTGCTGCGTTGCGGCTGTGGGGATACTGTGAAGGAAGCGACCAGAAATTGATGGACCACAGCTACACGACCACATGAAGAATACATACACCGAGGAATCGCTACACAGCTTCCACACCGGAACTGGCCATTTGGGGTGCAAACATTCTGGCATGAACGGACGGGATCTCGACTGGGCTTGAATTGGTGCCGACCATACGTGCTTCGCTATGCAAGAGTCATCATGCCTTCAGCACACACCAAGTCCATGGGCGTGGCGCTCAAGGCACCACGCCCTGCCGCTTGCTAGCAACACCTGAAACCATGTCATAACCAAACAAACAAACAATCAAACAAACGCTACAGTCATGTTAAACAAGGTGATCGCGATATATAAAACGTCTGCCTTCTCATCCGCATACTCGCTCGACAAGTTTCCATTTCTCCCCTCCCTTCCATTCCTTTATCCGCCCGCTTTTCGTCTCTGTCCACTCCAGGCTATATTCCACATCGTTTCCTCCGCCGTAGCCAATCTCAGAGTCTTGTTGCTATACCAATTCTAGCCATGGAAGCCAGAGAGCTGTATATGAGGGCTGAATAAGAAGCAGACAAACAAGGGCTTAGGGGTGACGAGACCTCCATCACCGGCCTCTCGACCCGTCTCGGAGAAGTCCGAAAAGGACGGCACTACTGCGGATTTCTGGTAACAGAAGATCGCTTGGTCCTGGGTACTCGTGTGCTAGCCGTGGCATTGCATCAGGGGCCCCTCATCCAGGTATTCTAGTACCTATCACGATGAGCCTGGTGTGGCGGGTGCCCCTGACTCCTGACCTTGGCAAGGTCGCTGAAGGCACTGTTAATGGCCCTCCCGAGATCCTTGTAGCTCACGATGAAGTCGGTATCGCTGTCGCGGCTGGTCAGTCGGATCCGCTCGTCGACCCCGGCGTCCAGTTTGGCCAGACAGCGGAGCATGTGGCCCATGTCCAGCACAGGCTGCCCTTGCGCGTCAACTTGGTGGAACACAAAGTCGCGAAATAGCTTAATCATGTAGCGGTCCCCGTTCTCGGACCACCGCGGATCCCCCTCAAACTCGAGGCGCTCGTTAACGACCCCGAGCTTCAACATTAGCCGGGCCGCCCGCCCGTTCTCGACCTCACGGTAGAGCTCCGAGTAGAGGGCGTCCGACTGGCGCTGTTTCTGATCAAAGGCTGTGGCCAGGTGGTGGTTGATGCCCGTCAGGAGGTTGTCTACCGATTTGCTCGCCCCTGCCTGTGGCGGGTTCAGCAGCCAAAGGACAGTCTCTTTGAGCGCCATCGAGTGGTTCCTACCCATCTGCTCGACTGCCGTGGCCAGATTGAGACTGATGGGCAGCGTGTGCGTGGCCAAAGACACGATCACCTTGCCGAACGCGACAAAGTCCTCCTGCTGGAGCTCCGCCAACGGCTTTGGGGTTTCGAAATTGACAACATCGAGGATACCACATGCGCTCAGTCGTATCCGGTTCTTCTCCGTCAGAATGATCTTGCTGAGATCCACACAGCGGGCTGCGAGGTTCGCCGAGTGTATCGCCCGCAGCGCGTTGGAGATCTGAACGATGTAGCTCCATAAGATGCTCTCTGTGGCTGGGACTGGATTACGGAACTGGCCCTTTTGGGCGCTTGGGAAGTGGTGCTCCGCTAGTGTCTCCGAGAGCGGGTGGTAGTCTTGGGCAAACATGAGGGAGCTGTCGCCGAATGCCCTGTTCGTGAAGGCGTCGTGAAGCGTCACTATGTTTCCGTTGCTAATCTTCTTCCACTCCTTGACCGGCCGCAGGATGTTCTCATTGGACACCTTGAAGCCCTCAAGGCGTCTCAGGCAGTACATCCTGCCCGTCTTGCTCGAGATCGCCTTGTACACCCAGCTCGTGTAGCTGAAGATGCCAGACGTCTTGCGAGCGATCTTGTCAAGAGGAACTAGCGAGTGGTAGTTGGCCAGCTGGGGCAGTTGGGTTGCAGCTTGGGTGCGGGTTAAAGTCAGCAGGCTTGCCGAATCCCAGGCCCGGTTGCGGCAACTTACGAGGCATGACCTGGAGAGCCGCATGCGCCTTTTTCTGTATGTCTTCCCTCAGTTTTTCGGGCATGAAGAAGTCGTAGGTTGAACGTTGCCATGGCTGCAGATCATCCTTGTAAGGGCCAACTGGAGCGTAGAGGTGGTATTGCTGGCAGCGTTTGCACGTCAGCGGCTAGCCGGTTACTGCGCGGAGACGCGGAGACAGAAAGCATACCGGCTGTAATGGGGCAGTAAACCCAGACTGGCCGCCAGGATAGAATGCGCCGCCGTGGTTGACCAGGCCAGAGTGGTCATTAGCATAGGGGTTATACTGCGGCGTGGGCAGGGAGTTGGTTACAGGGCCCATGGTAAATGGGTCGTAGTTGAGTCCGGCATCCTGGACAGTGGCCACTCCGTTTGTCCCGATGTCGTAGTGCTGCGGAGTAAACTCTCTGATAGAACCAACATTGCTGAAGGCGCTCGGCGTCGTCGTCACTGAGGGTATTTCAACCTCTGGCGGGTGGGGCGTTACTGAGGGTGTGGCAGCTGGAGAACCTCGTGAGCTTGAAGCACCGTCTTCGCTCTCTCCGGCTGCGGTTTGATGCCTACCTGACGCTCGGGGAGTGAAAACAGCAGCGCTGGCAGCGTGAGAAGATGAGAAAGTCTTTTTTGCGGGTTGCTGCGAAGCGGCAGGGGTAAAGGGGGCCGATTCTACATTCAACGCCTTTTTGGTGGATCTATTTTCGCTGTTAGCATATCGGGGGAACCAATGGCTGAGTTCCAAATTATCGCTGGAGACCGGCCCCTCGCAGGACCTGGTCCCCTGCCGAGGACGCGGCGCGAAGGCAGGAGAAAGTGCAGAAAGTTGTCGAGATGGGAGCGTCAATGACGAATGCAGCGGATGGCGAGGCGGCGACATGATAGAGAGGCCCCGTTCTGTAGAAGACTGGGTGGCCGGCTGGGGAAGGTCTGACTCCGAGGATGATAAGCGCGTCGAAGGCTGCGCAGATGGATCCAGCCTTGGGAGATCATCTCCGGTAAAACGGTTCAAAGCGAAATTTTCGCCGAGACCGCAAGGCCCGTTTACCGTGGCACTTGATGCTGAGCTAGCAGGAAACTCTACCACGGAGGGAGCAAAGAGGCTGACTGATCTCATCTCCCCGAAGCCCCGTTCAGATATTATGCCTCTGATAGGCTCGCGCGCTGGGAGCGAACGGTCCAGAGAACCGATCTTGTCCGGCAGGGCCAGCTCGGTCGAGCCACTCTGGATGGCAGTGTTTCGCCCAGGGAGGCGCCGCCGGTTTCTCATTCCTTGGTTCTAGCTAGGAATTCTGGCTGGCGTTGGGGGCCCGCTAATGGGAGTAGAGGTTTCGCTCGGCGGCAGCCACCGGGCCAAACTGGCAGCGGGCTCCGTCCGGGGTCTGTGAAGGCTGCGTAGCCGTTTTGGTGTAATATGTGGGGTGGGACTTCGAGTTGGTGGCGCTGACTTCGGTTTAGGAGTGCAGGCAGGCGTGCTGTACTGCTGGACTGAGCTATCCGCGGTCCTTGGGAATGCACCCGCATGAGGCTCTAGGTTGGGAGGTATCGGGGCTGATACAGTTTGGCGGGGGATCCGAGGAGACCGACCCCCTTTACTCAAGATAGAGACAAGTGGACGTCCGCCAGGGGTCAACGAGGGTGTCTGCTTCGTGTGTTCCGCGTTCTGCGCCTCGGAGGCTGTTGCCAGTGATATCGGGCAGCCTTGTGGGTGCGGCACACTCTGTTGTGAAACTGGGTCGTTTTGGGGCGAAGGACGGCTGAGCGAATGAAGCACATTCCCCTTGCCCCCAAGCCCAGCGGCAACCGCAGCAAACGAGCGCGGAAACGGAGTCGCGGGGCGTTCTCGTGGGAGGGAGACGGAGTCCGCACCTCCGGTCTGCTCCATCTCGCTGAAGAACAACGGTTGTCCTTGAAGTATACTGTAGGCAAATCGTAGGACTGCTGTCGCGGGAACGATGGCAACGGGATATCGATATCGGTGGTGGGCGTACTTGTGTAGGTTTGCGGTTTGATATTTCCATGCTCCCCCTGACCGAAGTCGAGGCGAGTGACATGCGAGCGGCCGCAGCATGCAAAGCGGCCCAATGATGGCAGGCGTGTCGAGCGATCAGGCGCGAGTGTCTCGGGGCAGCCAAAGCCGGGCGCATTCGTCGATAATCGTATGGGCGCGTGGGAGTTGATAGGGCAGGTGGAGAGATGAGAGGAACAGGAATAACAGGGGTTGACGGGCGGGGGAAGGTGATGTGGAATGCATAGGGGCGAGCGTGGAGGAAGGACCTACGTGTCTGTTTTGGGCGATTTCTTTGACTGGTCGTGACTGAAGGCGCAACCGGTGTCTTCGTAGCGGCAGTGGCCGTATATAAGGATGTTTCGGCAAAGTGTGTCTTTGGTATCTGCTCACACGTATGGACACGGGTCCGACGGTTAGTTTGGTGTTAAAGCATGTGTAAGGAAGCACGGCGCGTCTCGCTGTAGTTTGTGGGGGCGGCGACCTGCCCAAGGCCACTGCTATATCGACAGGAGAGTGCGGAGGTTAAGTCGCCAGCCAGGTGCGAGTAACGCAAAGGGGGTAGAGGACATGACAGGAGGACCGAGGAAGCGACGTACCACGGCCTTTGGGCCTCGGCGAGCCGAGCTGCCGGCGAAAGTCGTTGGAGTTGTAGCGTGTGGTCGCCATGGCGCACGAGGCTGCCCAGACTGGGGCACAAGGTCAATTCAAAGAAGACGCTCCCCCTTGACCCGCTCTACGATGCCCTTATGCCGCTCGCTCGTGTCACGTCAGCATGAGCCGGAACGGAGAGGTTGCGTGGGTGCGTGTGGATGTACAAGCTGGGCTGAGGGGGAGGGAAGGGTCGGCTTGGCAGCAGCGGGTCAGGCGCCGCCCCAACCCAACGACAGGAGCTCGACTACTGTTCGTGATTGCCGCCGGCGGAGGCAGGGGGAGGGGCCGAGGGGCGAGGCAGGCACGGGATGGCGAGGGCGGCACGGCGCGAGGGGAGACACAGGACGACAAAGCGGTCGGCGCAAGTGGGGCGGCGGCGGCAACTTTGCCGGTGTCGAGAGCGGGTTTCGCGGCTTACTGGACTTTGGCAAACATTTCCCATTGTAACCAAGTGTCGGGGGCCGTCATTCGCGAGAATCCCAGCGTCGCGGCGGCGCCCTGGCGTTGGTGGCAGCGTCTGGGGTCACGGCGGGTTGCTGCAGATTTTCACGATAATTGGCAGTGGGCGTCCTCGCTGGTGTAGTTGCGGCGGGACGAAGTTGCCGTCGCTTCGGCCGCCGTGTGGAAGTCAGAGGCTCGAGCGCGCGCCTTCCTCCTCAGCCTAGGACACTGGTGGGGCCTTGGGGTCGCTTGGGTCCTTGGCGGCCCATCGGCTCGGCCCCCTGCTGCTCTCAGGCACACAGGAGTGGAGCTAGCACAGTACCTCAACCACCGCTTCTTTGGGGCAGAATGTGCTGGCCGCCGAGGTATCTCCATAACAATAGTGGGCCCAAGGAGCTTCCAAGCGAGCGGGCAGGCCGCACGGGATCGGCCTACCTACAAGGTGAGCTGGCCATCAGTGCTTCCCCCCTCCCTGCGCGACCTCACTAATCAATCGATCCGTTTAGATGCGTTTTCACTGCTGGTAGAGGTAACATACACTCACGCAAGTAGCGCCTTGAGGACACTCAACCCGCATCCCCTTTGTGGTCCCTGGTCACGCAGCGCAGCAAACACAAATCCCACACACGGCGACCCCATTTTGCAGCTCAACCGACGTTGGGCCAACGTGGACGAATCAGAGTTTCGCATGCTACAGCAGCCCAGACTACACTTCCCTCCTTCTGCACTGGCTGCACTTGCTTCGTCTGGCCACAGCACCAAGACGGCGCCACTGGTCCTTTTGCACAACCCAACGCGCCAGCCTTGATCCTCGACACCACCGGCATCCCCGCTGGCGCCCGCCGACACACTCCCTGCAACTCCACCTCGGCTGATGGGCGTTTGACGAGGCTCCAGCCCGGTGACATCAGTCATTCCGTCGTTTGTGCGGGAGCTCTACTCCGGAGCTGGAACAAGCTTCGAGAGAGCCCCTCGGTCCAGGCAGGCAGCAATTGTGGTCTTCGTTGTTATTTTTTACTTTTCGCTCCTTCAATTCTCTGTGCATCGCCCCCTACCCCTCCTCACCCCGCTGTGATCCAGGCCCATCACCAACCATGGCGGAAAATGGCGATGTAGACCTGTCTGGGCTCTCGGACAGCCAACAGGAGGCCCTCCAACAATACACCATGATCACGGACCAAGACGTCAAGGATGCCATCCCTTTACTCCAGAGGTCACAATGGAACGCCCAAGTATGCTCCGGTCGGCCCGCGAACCCTAGATGAGACAGGCTTGCTGACACCAAATACTACATCTCAGATAGCGATCGCCAAGTTCTTCGACGGTGAGGGTCCCGATCCGCTAGCAGCGGCAATTGCTGAGCGAGAAGCCTACAATTCGATCCCCGTTGTTCCACCAAATGGCACCATTCGGTACGAGAGCCTCCAAGACAGCCTAGAAGGATACAACTCGTCGGACGGGCACGTACACAGGACCGAAGCCGCTCCGAGGGTTGTTCCCCAACCTACGACGACCTACAGGCCACCCTTCCTACTCTCCATCGTCATGGCACCATTCAATATCATGTACCGCCTGTCAAGGATCCTGTTCCGGACTGTCTTTCACCTGTTATCCTTTATTCCCCGTCCACTGCTGCCGCGGGCGCTCGGAACTGCCCTGACCAAGAGCACGTACGGACGGCGACAGCTCATGCCGCGCGACTCGGCTGCTCGATTCAAGCGCGAGATGGAGGAGACTTATGGCGCGGACGATCTGCCATGGTTCGACGGCGGGTCTGCACAAGCCTACGACCTCGCCAAACGGGAGCTCAAGTTTCTACTGATTGTGCTGCTGTCCCCCGAACACGACGACACGGACACTTTTGTGCGCGAGGTCTTGTTGGCACCCGAGGTCATGGCCTACGTGAAGGACCCCGCCAACAATATTCTTCTATGGGGCGGAAACGTGCTTGACTCGGAAGCTTATCAAGTTGCCAACGAATACAAGTGCACCATGTTCCCGTTTTCCTGCCTTGTGTGCCTGACGCCCAAGGAGGGCAGCACACGCATGGGTACCATCAAGCGGACCATCGGCCCCACGACGGCGGAGCGTTTTCTTGCCGGTATTCGCACTGCGATCGGCAAGCACGCCCCGGACCTGGATGGCGTGCGGGCCGAGCGGGTTGCGCAGGCAGCCGCTCGCAGTCTGCGGGAGGACCAAGACTCTGCGTACGAGCGGTCACTCGCAAAGGACCGCGAAAAGGCTAGACTGAGACGTCAGCAGGAGGCCGAGGCTGCTGCGGCGGAGAAGCGGGCTTTGGAAGAGGCCGAAGCTGCCGCCCGGCGAGCCGAGGCTAGAAGCCAGTGGAAGGTATGGCGTGCAGCCATGATCGCGCCGGAGCCGCCCGCCGGTGATGGCAAGGAGGTAGTGCGCCTCGCGCTCATGATGCCGGAGAATACTGGGGCCGGGAGGATCGTGCGACGGTTCGCAGCACACACGACTATCGAGGAGCTGTATGCATTCGTCGAATGCTACGGCGTTGAGGGAAGTGAGAAGGCGCCTCTGGGACCGCCCGTGAACTACAAGCACGAGTACGAATTTCGCATCGTCTCGGTCATGCCGCGCGAGGTGTACGAGCCCAGTGAGACAGAGACGGTGGGCAAGAAGATTGGGAGGTCGGGCAATTTGATTGTCGAGGCGACGGTGTTCGACGATGACGACGAATAACAACCCTGTTGATCCAAGACTTACATGTATGCTTATCTAGACAATCCCCAGGTCACTTCTCCCAGGCTGCCATGAAGCCATGGTTACAGGGGTATATTTTGTTGTTTTGTCATAATCCGAGGACAATAGAGTACCACCATGTTGGGCCGAAAGCCACGCCCGCCAGCTCTGATACTTCTCGGAATCCCGAGGCGACGCATTCCCAGCTTGGCTGGCCACGGCGGCATCTTGGGCTTTAAAGATGGGGCCGACATTGTGTCCCGGTTGCGTCCGGGCTGTGTGGTATGAGGCGTCGCACTGCGCGTCTTCCCGGGCAAGAGATAACGATAGTGTGTCCACATGCCGAGTGACACCATTCTTGGCGGCCGAGTTTTTTCCTTTTTTGGCTGCACAGTCTCAGAGTGGGAAACAACAGTCGCTATAAGAAAGGCGGTTAAGGATACTTAATACAAACGCAAACACTCGCGCCCACACCGACTACCTTTGCCCTGGCGTCATGCACAAGACCCCGAACTAAGGCGACGGAGCAGAGTAAGTGGAGGTGGGCCGCGAGTCCCGCCGGGGCTGTGTGGCTGGCATCTGCATCACGATGGGCAGTCCAGGCCAATATCAATGAGGCGTGAATTCCCCCGACTGGATTTCACAGCCAAAAGGCCAAGTTCAATCTTTGGCACTGGATGTGCCATGAGATGCTGACTCGCCGATGAGAGTGGTGGCCCCATGCGCCGCTCTTTGTTCGCTGTGAGCGGGGCCGGACGACGAGTCTGGTGATGGCGGTGATGGAGCTTGTGATATTCCAGCTTGCGTGGACGTGGAGTCTTTCTGATGCTGCACAGCCCCAAAAGCTAGCTCTTGGCACTGTTGGCCAATACCGTCACGGCACTGGGTGATTCTTCAGCGTGCCAGGAGCCTCATGTTGGTCTCTGCCCCATCACACTCGCCCTCGTAGGCTACCACATTCTCGGGGACGCGCCTCGGGAGCTTGGGCCTGTCGCCCGTCTCTGTACCCCAGTTTCGTGGGCGGTGCTGTGGCGGGCAGGGAAGGACAACGGCCGGTTCAATGGAGAAGCACCCAAATTAGAAAAGCGCAGCAGCTTGCATCTCCTTGCAAACGGCCGACGACTGCGGCTTGCGTCTTGTTGGGCTTGCAGATCATATTCTGGTGACGAACCAGGAGAGTCGAAGCCAGGTGTAGACTTTGGTTTTAATACATCGCCACTGTTACCCTTTGGTCAAAGGAGATATCAGTGTGCCTGTTCCCTCCCATTTCGAATTGACAATCGGCAGCATAAGCAAGGAAGAACCTTGAGCGTCGCGATCAATTCGGTGTCGTTCCCAAAACCGAGCCGCCCAAAACAGCCAACTCCGAGTTTCAGTGTCCGAACAACGAACGCCCTGCCTCTGCCACGTCGGCTGCCACGAACTACGCGAAGATAAAAAATACATCCTGCGCGCGCGCCTGTGACTCGAACCGGCGAAATTGCGACCGCCTGAAGCGAGCGGCGAGCTAGATCCATCGCCCACCCATACTGTCGGCCCTACTAGCGCAATCAATCTGGATCACCAAAACCCGCCCGCTCCGCAGGCGCCCCATCTCGGCGCCTCTCCCGCAGGCGGAGCCCACCCGTGAGCTGCAACGACAACCCCCAATACCACTCTCACCTCCAGGCAACCCCCAGCCACGAGAGCTGCTTTAGACCGACACCACCCTCGACATCGGCCGCCACGGCCTTGCGAAAATCCATAACAAACACCTCGAAGAACGAATCGCCTGAGTACGGAGCAACGATGAAGGCCATGAAAGGGCTGAGCATGAACAAGGTGCTTGGCGGCATCAAGAGGAAGGCGACGAACGGTACGAACCCCACTGTCTGGCCATTTGGCGCGCGCATAGGTAGCACTACCACTTGAAGCCTCTTCCGGTCGCCCACCGCCCATCCAAGAAACTAACGAGACGCTCCGTGTCCTCCCTACCAGAGCACAGCAGTAATGCCAACGGTTCGGGGTCAGGCGGCGACCCCGCAGACGAGACGCCTGAGGTTGTCGCCTCTCGCAATGTGGTATGCATCGCCAGTCACACACAGAGGAGCGCGAGCCGGCGGCTGACTAGACTATGCTGCTTGACAGCGGCGTTTCTGCGAATCAGGAGGACGCGAGAATGCGGTACGTTCCTCCGAATCATCCGTCGAGCTGCCCATGCGCCCCACAGAGGCTGATAGGAGACACTTGACAGGGCGACGAGGTGACCTTTCTGCCCGCCATCGTCGACGCAGCCGAGTCTTCCCCGGCCGCCGCGGCCGAGTGCGCGCGCATCATCCGCAAGTATCTGCACAAGGATTTCTGGACCAAGCCGTCGTTCCAGTACAATGCCATCATGCTCATCCGCATCCTAGCCGACAACCCCGGCCAGACCTTCACACGCGCCCTCGACAAGAAGTTCGTCGACGTCGCCAAGGAGCTGCTCCGCTACGGCCGTGACGCGTCTGTCCGCCAGATGCTCATGGAGACACTGGATGCCTTTGAGGCTACTAAGGCGTACGACGAGGGCCTAAACCTCATCCTAGAAATGTGGCGGAAGGAAAAGGAGAAGGCCTACAAGGCCTACGGAGTACGTTTCGCCTCTTGCCTTGTCCATGACACTAGGACACCACGCTGACTGTTGCCCGTTGTGTGCACCCAAAACCAGGTTCCACCGCCACAAGCTGCCCCGCGCATGCCGAGCGACGGGCCGCCGTACAACCCGCACTCACAGAACTACTTTGCTCGCAGTCATAGGAACAAGCAGCTGCCGGAACCCATCGAGCTGGCCAACCGGCTCGAGGAGGCGCGCACATCAGCCAAGCTGCTGCAACAGGTCGTGGCCTGCACGCCGCCTGCCGAGGTGCTCAACAACGACCTGATCAAAGAGTTTGCCGACCGCTGCCTCAGCGCCTCCAGGTCCATACAGGGCTACATGACAGCCGACAACCCAGCCCCGGACAACGACACGATGGAGTCCCTTATCGACACCAACGAGCAGCTGCAGACCGCCCTCAGCCAGCACCAACGCGCCGTGCTCAACGCCCGCAAGCATATGGGTCCCGGCGATCAGACGACTCCGCCGGCCGGCGCGCCGCCCCAAAGGACCACCGCCGGCTTGACGATCGGGTCGACCGGGTCCCAGCCCGAGGCGCCGCAGAACGGCATGGGCTTCCAGTCGTTTGAACCGAGCAGCCGCAAAGCCGTCGGCAAACAAGTCGAAGGCGGGCCGAGCAGGTCCACGAGCGGCACTCCCAGGCCCGAGGAGGACCCGTTCGCCGACCCCGTCGACGAGCCGAGCGGCGCCGGTGCCTCGACTCGCGTCGGAGATGCGGGGTCGTTGTCGGCCGCCGGACGGCCAGGGGCGGCGCCAGCGCCGGTGCCGGTATCCCCGATCGAGCCCTCAGACAACGGGCCCCCAAGGCTAGCGCTGGAGCCGTTCCACCCGGGCGGCTTCGGGGGTTCAGCGTCCGACAACGCCGCAGCGGGCGGCAGGAGCAGGGGCATGACGCGCGGCTCCGAGGACCTGTACGACGACTCGGACGATGATCGACAGAGGCCTGGCGGCGCTGCAAAAGCCTCCAAAGCACCACAGCAGCCTGTAAATCGTTATTAGTCTCGGTGAGAGATGGTGTCGTGAAGAGAACACGCGGAGAGGCTGCCGTATTCATGGCGAGTGCAGTCCTCGGACAAAGCGTTGCGCGGGGTATTCGATGTTTTATTTTCCTCCGCTCCCAGCTCATGAACAGCTCTTGGAATGTTTCGCCTCTTCTTCCTTCCTACTCGAGCGATGTTGTGCTATCAAAGGTCCGATACATCCTTACCCCTACTTTGGATTGGAATTTCTTCGTTTTCCTTCTGCTCCTTCTTTTCTGCTTTCTCAAATAGCAAGAAAGTCCACTACGTTTCCCCCCCCCCCCCC